GCCGTACCAAATAATTTGGGGATAATTACTGAACTATTTGATGAATACAATTATTTTCCGAAACTGTTTTCATAATTCATCGTTCATTATCCTACTGTTATGCCACTATTATTTCAATTTCATTCACTGGAACCTTTGAGTATGCCATCCGCATATACTCCGAAATTCACGAACTAATTCAGGACCTACGACATCTGGTAATCCCATCGTCAAAACGCCGCTTCAAGTTGAAACGCTCGCGTAGCTCATTACACTGATGCAGACGGCCGGCCGATCGGTGGTTTCTTGTCTCGACCAATCTCGACGCATCGCCTACAGATTCCCCGCTTCAAGTTTGAATTCTCGCGTATAAGCGAACGATACGCGTCATACCTTGGGTGCGGCCAAGCTCTGCTGGCCGTCCGTACGTACGTTATCGTGCGCTCGCTGTGCACCGTATCCGACCATTCCGACCTAATTTTTAATATACGGATTGGCATGATTGACATTCTATTTTCATTTACATTATAGATATTTATAATTTTCATTCCTATACTTATTTGTAAGTTGATGTTGAAATTTGAAATGTACAAACTGAAAAAAAATAAATTCGATGTTTTTGTTCACGCTTGCAGTAGTTGCAGTAAAAATGACTGGTGATTTTTGAATTTGCAATTTTTCAGTGATTCATAATTCAACATATCCATCTAATATTGGTATCAGAATTTTCCTTCAGTGCCTCTGAGCGTCAATAAGTTATAAATCAATTTGAATATTGTAATGTAACCTACTGTGCCTCTGCCTATGTAGGTAATATGGCAAGAAAAATGTCAGCAGTCCAAGAGCTGAGTAGGTATTGAAACATCGTAAAAAAGCTCTGGTGAAGAAAATGTAATGAATGTATAACTTCCAGAATATCATTTATTTTCAAAGACGCATGTAGCGGTTATAAATAATATTTATGCATCCATCGCGGGAAACATTATACCAGAGATTATACACTCCTGATTATACCTACGGCTGCACGGCGGGCTCGGCCAGCCGACTACGAAGGAGTGGGGTGGCTTGTTACAGGAACGGCGTAGAGCGTAGGTAGACCGATTTAGTCATTGTTGTGCTTCTCGCGTTAGGTGAGTGGTTGTCGGTTATGTTGATTTTTTTGAGTTTACGTTACGTTTTCAACAGAATATAAATATTTTTTGTTCACGAGTTATTTCATTTTTATTTTCTTTCATTTTATTTTTTCGACTTTCTTGTTATTATTTTTTCATACCAACTATAACCCTTATCCACCTCCTTTTCCTTTCCCCATTTCCCCTGGCGAGAATGCTCTAACCTCGTGGTTCTTGCTGGACAATTTAATTTTTTGGTTATGTGTACAGGGTGATTCACCATAAATGTCCCCCCCTCTAGCTCAGTTATTTTTAAACCGCGATTTCAGAATTTGAAATATCATCTTATTGAATGATTTTTTATTGAGTTTTTTCCGCTACATCAGAAAATACAGGGTGCTCAGAAAAAACGATCTACAGGGTACCATTTGATTTTTTTATATGGAACACCCTATTTCTCATTGTATTTTTAGATTCTCCCTGAAAAGCTGATTTGCTCAATGTATCACACTTGGGGTCTATCGGGAATGATTACAGAGATATAGGGTGTTCAAAATCGAGATTTTTCAACTTTAGGATTTTTTTGAGACTATTTATCATCGGTCAAAACGGCTTTCATGTCCATATCTCAACTTTTGATTTACTATCTACTGACATTTAATAATTGGAACAGATACAGGGTGATCAGAATTCTGAATCTTGAACCACCCTGTAAATGTTCCAATCAAATCTCAATAGACAGTTAATCAAAAATTAAGATGGAAACATAGGAGCCGTTTCGACCAATAATGAATAGTTTAATTCGAGACAAAAAAATCCTAAACTTGAAGAATCTCGATTTTGAACACCCTATATATCTCTGTTATCATTCCCGCTAGACCCCAAGTGTGATGCATTGATGAAATCAGCTCTTCAGGAAGGATCTAAGAATACAATGAAATACAGGGTGTTCCATTTGGAAAAATCGTGTAGTACTCTGTAGATCATTTGTTCCGAGCAACCTGTATTTCCTGATGAAACGGGAAAAAAATTCTGAGAAATCATTTTAGATCATCCTTCAAATTTTCAAATCGGGTCAAAAATAAAGTGAGCTAAAGGGGGGGGACAATTATGGTGAACCACCCTGTACATGTTTATTTGCCATCGAACTTCACTCAAGCCGCTGACCCAACGTGTTACGTTCGCATTTTAGAGCAATATCTATACCCTGGCCGACCCAGGTTCTGAGGGCACGAGCCGTCACTGATTTGTTCTATTTTTTCTTTTTCAGTTTCATTGTTAACAAAAATTTTTCTGGATGTTTCGTTGATAAGGCCTATGAAAAACGAGGTAAAACGAAAATGTTTTGGAGGTTAATTTGGGAAACTTTTTGACAATGACAGTTGTATTTAAGTATGACACGGAACATGAAACACAAAACACAATGGTATAGAGAATATCGGCATAAAACATATTTTATATTTGGTAAATTTCGAAGGATGGACTGGTGTTCAGTTATTTATTTTATCATATTTTGAATTTGATATTGAAATGGAAACAGTATGAAATTTGTGATTTATAGTTATAGGATGGTATGGTAGATATTGCTTAGATTATTGATGTCTGTTCTATCGTTCATCGAATTTTTGTCTTTGTTTATATATATCATTTCTTTGATGCACCTTTTGTAGTAATTACTTTCATGATCTAGAATTTTAACATTGCTGAATGTAGTTGTGTGATTATTATCAATTAAGTGTTTTGTTAGGGCAGTTGGATTTTGTTTGTTATAGTGATGTCCTTTTAGTCTATTTTCTAAGTATTGTGTTGTCATACCTATGTATGTTTTGTTGCAATCGTTACATGGAATAGAATATATAAGGTTCGAATTTTTTAGTGTTGGAGTTTCACTTTCAAGTTTTGTAAAAAATTTTTTAGTAGTGTTGTGGGATTTATGACATGTATCTATGTTGAACTTTGATATATAGAATGTGTGAAACTGTGTAAGGGATTGAAATTGTATTTAATAAGTTGAATTCTTTCTGTTTTTTATATTGTGATCTGTTGTATAATCGGTGTACTCTATATTTTATAGTTTTGTTAATCAAATGTAACGGATAGTTATTGTTAACTAAGGTGTCTTTTACTTTTTGTAGTGTTTGATATCTGTATTGAGGGTTAGTTAAAATGATTGCTCTGTCTACCATGCCAACAATAACACTTTTTTTCTGTGTTATAGGGTAATGTGAGTTAAAGTTCATGTATCTACCTGACCACGTATCTTTTGTAAACCATTTAGTAAGGATTTTATTGTTTTTTTTTTTTCATCAATGTAATGTCTTTAATAAAGCCTGACTATCGATAAGTCGTTCACAATCAGTTTCCGAATCCCTATCACCCTGGGAAATTGTACAAAACGGAATTTACTAACTGGTTTTGTAACAGTACCAAGGAAGTTCGGGAAGTATCGAGGAAGTACGGGAAGTATCAAGGAAGTACAGGAAGTATGAGGAAGTATACGATTTGAAGGAAGTAGTGTACTTCATTTGGGTCAGCGGTTTACCCCTCGATTAATAATAAATGGGATAATACTGTAGACTTCTTTATAAAATTTGGTACATACATATCTTCTTTGCATCAAGGTGCATTTTTTGATGTATAAAAATGTTCCTTTTATCTACCAGTGGCGCCGTTAGGGGGGTTAGGGGGATATGATTATATTATACTCGAAAGTGAGCAATGAAGGAATATTCCCAAATTTAATGAAATGCTAAAAAAAGTCATTCAATTTTGTACAAAACAGATCCTCCTAGTGATACCCGATAGGACGCTTTGTTTTCGAGATAAAACGAAAAATCGAGATCAAACTTCAAATTTTGTAAATAAATGCTAAGCTTGAGTACTCCATTCAGGACATCCATTACTGGATAACCACAGTATGTAACATTTTGAAATTTTTGCACCGTTTCAGTCACATAGCAGAATACATTTTGCCATCAGCTCTACAGGGTGGACAAAAAAAATCTATGTATATGTTCAACTGTGATACCCTGTATCTCAAAAGTTAGTAATTTTACGACATACAGTATTCAATAAAAAAGCGTACAAGTATTAAACATAGAAGATTTCGGCATTCTAGTTCTCGTTGTGTAAAATTGGCTTAGCCAATGCTTTGTGTTTTTGAGAACCTATGATTAATCTACTGTCAACATTCATTCCCGATAGCCCGTTTAACGCAAATAGGATGACGTTAATTTCTCCCACCAATATAGATGTACGCTTTTTTTTTAATACGACTGTACGTTCATATGAAGTTTTATTCTCTCTTTACTATTAGCATGTCATTAAGGAACACCCTGTATATTCACCAGCGGTTTATTCCTTCGCCGTTTGCGTATTTCCGTTGTGAATTTCTAACACTTCAGTGCCTAGCCTTAGTGCAAATTTTGAATTCGAAACCTAGTTTTGAAGCCCAGATCGCCTGATGGTATCTGATGAGTAAACAAAGTATTAGCAAAGCTATGGTTTTAGATTCTGCACATGTTCTGAAGTTATGGCGGCAATAAGGTGGTTGCATTATATAATTGATAGGTTATACAGAAAGGGTTTTCTTCATTTGTAAAACGCAAGCAGGACCTAGAACTTCCACTTGCCGAAAGACCTGAGAAACCCTGAATTCCCATTGGTCTCAACCATAATCATTTTTTTTAGTTTCTTGTCTATCAAAAATTGTATAAACAAAAAGACACAACGCCATTCATCGAACTTTGTAAAACATAATAAAGAGTGGATATGAAGACTTCTTTCAATCGAAAAAAAAAACATGAAACCTTTTGGCATGCTTTCACGTATATGAAATGGATATATTCATGTGATGTTGGATAGTTAACTATGCAGTAAATAGGTACCTTAATGAATAATAATAATTACCAAAATATGATACTCCTCATGGTCTTCAATAGGCTCGGACATAACACTTTTGATCGACCCCATGGGTAATTTTTCAGTTCTTTCCTTAGTACCTAACCATAATTGATCGCTTTCTAATTTGAAAGTTAACCTAACTTTTCCGCCATGTTTATTCAACATACCAGATAGGGGCGTTGATGGCAGTCCTTCCTAAAAATTAATTCGTAAAATCACTATATTGTGAATGCAATAACTTTCTAGAAGTCAAATGGTGAAAGATCAGAAATGTTCTTCATAATCTTCCTTTAGTATTGCATCCGACAAAAAATTACATAAAAATAATATTTGTACCTTGAGATTTCTTATTCCTGGCATAGCATCCTCCGGTATTCCTTTATCTAGTACTTTTCGGTGGATTTTTTGTTTGCATAAAGGTTCTTTCGAAGTTGATGCCTTTTCCATTTCCACTACATCCTGAAAATATTGATTCATTATACAACAAAGAAAAAACGTAGTCGATTTCAGCTTCAAGACAAAAACCATGAGCTAGAATCTAATAATTTTCCCGTGTATTATACAATATTTTTTCTGTGACAGGAAAAAAGACGAATTAATATTGAGAAGATATTACATTATATTGGAATCAGAAAACAAACAACCATTTCTCATCAAGGGTCACTCCCAAGTCTCTTATCTCAGATACACGCTTCAGGTCCGAATTGTTAATTTGATTTTTGTCTATTTGCTCAGATACATACTCGGAAAAGCACAAAAGATTGGTTTCTAGCGAGCGTTCTGAAAGGAATCCGTGTTGCTCTTCTATAATGATATTTTTGACACACGGTAGGATTCGGTTATAGACGATTTCTTCGAGCATTTTACCAAATGATAACTAGAGACTAGAGACAAACCTACCTATACATTGAAATCGCGTTGATTATAGCATTGAAAATTTGTTAACAAGATGAAATCTAGTGATATAAAATTCCCATTAATGTTTTCCTCATGGGTCCCATCAGTTATTTCAGGAAAGTTATAATTCATATCTGACAATAGCGCATTATTACTACAGCTGAACTGACACCACAAAATGGAAGATCACAAACAAAATGATATTGTCATGATAAACGTCCGCGTTCAGACTTTCACAAGCACTTAGTAGAAACCCAACGATTAATTCAAATACAAACACTACAGTCTACAAGTCTACAATACACGATACAGAATGATAAAAATCATGTCTCTTTCTAATATAATACCTTCATGGGCGCCGTCACTTGAGGGCAAAGGGGGCGACCGCCCCCCCACCCTCCAGGATTTCAGAGTTAGACGTGATATTTTGGTCAAAAATGAGGTTGTTTGATTAATATTTTTGTTTCTCTAAATGCTCGCCTAAATGCATTTTGAGTAGGTGATACGGTTACTATTTTTCAACATGAAGTTTGAATTTTATTCATTTCACCAGTTCCAATTTTTATCAACAGAGTATTCCTCTACGATTAGGTTTCTTATTCTTCACTAAATATTTCCTTTAGTTAGTTTATTATTATACTCAATCAGAAGGCCATCGACTTGGTTGTTGCTGCCAAGTTTCCTTTATTTTTGTGATATTTTTGTTTTCATGTAGGTGTTTTGTTCTAAAAAAAAATATTTTAAAATGTGTTGTTATACTCATCAACTAACGTGCTTAACCTATTTTGTATCCTGTTCATGATATTTTTGAACCACAATTGTAGTGGAAATTGGCCCAATGATCTCAATTTCAATCTGATGCAATGCTTTCAATTAAAAATATGCCCCCTAGAATTGTTTACGGGCGACGCTCATGAACACCCTCAACTAATTCATCGTTTCACTATGTCTCTCTAAATAATACTACTCCCGTCGGGCTACCTGCCGATATTCATATCTGAAATAAGACATTTCTAGCATTTTCATAACTTTTCGAAATCCTTCGCCAGCCCGGGCGATGCGGCTCTATCCGAGAACAGCGGCGCGAGTCTGTAGTAGTCTCCTAACAATATTTTTGAGGTAATGGTAATGCTTTCTTCTTAAGGTATGTTCATGCTTGTACGAATTCCGCAAAATTTATGCGAATTGCAAAATATGAATTTCCCAACAGAATTCGACGTTCAAACTCATGCGTCAAAATTTGAAGGAGATAAGGGTTAAGTTGTCATATGTCTTTATTTCTGGTCCCACCATTGATAGAAGTTCATCAAATTGAAGGCACGTTACACGAAAGTAATTGAAGTATTTATTAGGGTCATTCAGTCGCATGCATCGAACATGGCTGTGATAATCTCCATACATTTTTCGGCATTTAAAAATGCTTCGAACACCACAGCTCCTTTTTTTTCGTACATGCATGATTATACCTTTATTTTGGCTTATTTGTTCGGCGGCGTCACTTACGTTAGTCAGTTAGTCAGTTACTTAATCGTAGCTATATTCACTCGACATTCAGTTTTTACCACAGATTACCCAACTATACAGATGCGAAAGCTGGGACTCCCGCCAAAACCAAATTTATATGCGCATAAGCAGCGTCGCTGTAGCAGATCATTGAACTATATTCATATTGTATTCAATTGAATTTAATTCACTACTTATGTTTTGAGTTTGGTGTGTGTTGTCAATATTTTTGTCATTAGTTATTAGATAAGTCATATTTTTATTGAGCTTCATTTCTGAATATACCACGATTCAATAGTATTTTCACCTCCTCTAATTCATATTTCATCCTTCATACGAAGTATTCAATCGCCGGGTAGGTGAATTGCGCATATTTAACAGTCGCCTTGGTAACAAATCGCTCTGGCATCCAAATGACCAAACATATTATTACTTTCCAGTTTCATCATTGAACCCAATTAGATACTTTCATTCGGTATCTTGGCATAATTTGACAATGCCAATTTTATCAGCATCATTTTTTCTTTTTATGGGTCTACATGCTTCAAATATATAAACTACTCAACACTAATTTCGTCGCAGACCAAAATGTCACCCCTGTTATAATGTGAATAACTTTTTTCAGTTTAGAACAATTTGAATTTGGTTCACACTGTTCGATAGCCCAGTCCTTCAGCTATAATCTCGTACTTCATTGAAACATAAGGGTATTCACATAAAATCTCTATATACAAGGTGTTTTCCGACACTGTGCGGAATTTCGGAATATTCAAAAGGCTCTCAAATGGTGAAAAAAATGTTTTTCTCAACTTCGACAACAGAGGCATGAAGATGATCTCATTAACTCGAGATATTTCGCGAATCAACTTCTTATCTCTCTTATTTACAGAGTGATCTCAAAAAATCAACTTTTTGGTTTTGCAGCCATAACTTTTTTCCACGTCAACCGATTTTGGAAATCTTAGGCTCATTTTGAAGATAAAACTTCAGATGAAAAGATCTGAATATCAGAATTGACTCAAGATGGCTATCAAAGATCTAGAGTTTTCTTGAAAGTGACCCAAATCTGGAACGCCCTCCGAATCTCGGTTGGGAGGAGAATTGAATGAAAATCAACTTGTTCTCGGAAAAACAATTCATTCTGGATGCTTCCATATTTTCTTCGCTCTCAGTACTCAAGAATGTGCGTGAGACAACACAATTGAAACATGTTCTTGCAAAAACATCAGACCATTTCTCCTCTGTAATGCATGGCCCGTAACCAACGTTACAAGAATCACAGTAAGTGACTAACAAGTCAGGTTAGACGTCGTTTTCGAATCATAAACAAATTTTGATAGTTTCGATGCCGCATCTAACGCCCGACCAGTTGAAACTGATTCCACAAATGAGGGAACAAGGGTTATCTTCCCTCCAAATCGCGGATCTGCTAAACACGATAGTCCGATCCATTCAAAGGGCTTATCTCCGACACGAATTGTTTGGTTATTACTGTCGATTCGTTCGGCGCATTATTGCGACTGAAAACTTTACGTAATTGGCAAACTGTTTTCGTGAAACTTTCACCATTTTTGAACTGCGTTTTTACAATAAATAAACGTTGTTTGCTTGAATACTTCTCCATATTCTTAAATCGCATGTTATGTACGTGACAACTGTTGAAAAAATCACTTTATTGAAAAAATCAAAATCCGTTGCTCTTGTTGGTACACCATTTATGATGAGTCTCAGCTGGTCGGGTTTGTCAGTCACTCATTGTGATTCTTGTAACGTTGGTTATTACAGAGCAGAAATGATCTAATGTTTTTGCAAGAACATGTTTCAATTGTGTTTTCTCACGCACAATTCTTGACTACTGAGAGCGAGGAAAATATGGACGCATCCAGAATGAATTGTTTTTTCGAGAACAAGTTGATTTTCATTCAATTCTCCTCCCAACCGAGATTCGGAGGGCGTTCCAGATTTGGGTCACTTTCAAGAAAACTCTAGATCTTTGATAGCCATCTTGAGTCAATTCTGATATTCAGATCTTTTCATCTGAAGTTTTATCTTCAAAATGAGCCTAAGATTTCCAAAATCGGTTGACGTGGAAAAAAGTTATGGCTGCAAAACCAAAAAGTTGATTTTTTGAGATTACTCTGTAAATAAGAGAGATAGGAAGTAGATTCGCGAAATATCTCGAGTTAATGAGATCATCTACATGCCTCTGTTGTCGAAGTTGAGAGCCTTTTGAATATTCCGAAATTTCGCACAGTGTCGGAAAATACCTTGTAGAGATTTTATGTGAATACCCTTATGTTTCAATGAAGTACGAGATTATAGCTGAAGGACTGGGCTATCGAACAGTGTGAACCAAATTCAAATTGTTCTAAACTGAAAAAAGTTATTCACATTATAACAGGGGCGACATTTTGGTGTGCGACGAAATTAGTGTTGAGTAGTTCAATTCGCGATAGAAAATGACACGTTGCCTCACCTGACGGCAACAACTTGAACACTTTGAGCAGTTTGTTTTGATGATATGACCAATAAGCAGAAAAAAAAATGTGAACCATTGGAAACAAAGTAAACATGCCGCTTTGACAGCTTTCAAGAACTCCGATAGGTGGCGTACGCTTATTTTGTATCGCGAACAAATAATGATAATGATGACAGAGTTACATCAATACCAAAGATCATTTCCTCTACTCCCGTATATTACAATACGCGAATTGAATATCTGTTACCGATTTATTAATATTGCTCACTTTAACACGGACTTTCATCACGAAACAGATTTTGGCCAATGAAAACACGTACTTGGGTATAATCGAATGTTTCTACATACTTGCTCAAGTTGTTAGACATTTAATTTCAATTGACATTCAATCACAACGCGTCAAAAGTACGGGCAAATTCATGGACTGGAGATGTTGGAATATGTTGAAATATAAATATTTTGAAATGATTTCATGTTTTTATTTAATCATTCAATAGTAGTAGGAAAAAGTACATGAAACGATCATGTAATCTATCAATACATGACCTTTGAATGGAATACTATTACTAACATTTCTTCGAAACTACCAGACCTGAGAAAAAACAGTGACATCAAATTAAAAATAATATTCCAGAATACGCTTACAAATACATATTATATTCTTGGAAATATTGGCGCTCTGTCACGAACTTAGATAAGTATAAATAACTGCACATTTGGATATTCGCGAAGAGGGCATTATCCCCTTTTAATCGAATTTGGTTCCAACTCGTTATCACGTATGTCAATATTTCCAAAAATGTTTCGCCTCTGTCGAAAGATGATATCCGATGAAACATGAACCAGAACATTGAACCGATGGTCCATCGGATGTTTTCTTTCAAGAAAGGCGAAATATTCTCGGAAATATTGATGCTCTGTCACTAACTTAAATCTGTCTGAATCGCGCCACGTTCGGATATTCGCGAAGGGGACATTATCCCCTCTTTTATTTTCATTTTGTTTCTACTCGTTATCACGTGACGAAACATATTCCAAATAACATTTATTGAAAAATAGTAATCGATTAATCATTATCTAGAATCAATAATTGAAATTGAATTGATGGAAATAGGTTTAATGAAAAAATTTGACTCGCCGAAAAACAATATTACACACAGATCTTCTATGATTTGTGGTCGACTAAACATCATTAACAATTAATTGCAGAATATCCCACAATCAGATATTATAATATAAACAATTCACTGAGTATATTATATCGATACATCAAACCTATATCTCCATGACAAGACATGTGAAACAATTCCTTTTTTATCAATCAAAGGAAGAATGTATCAAAATTTCTCAATTCAATCCTTATGATCCCTCTGACGAGACCAGAAGTTTTAAATAATAATTATACTTTACAACTTTCATTCAATAACATTTTTCAGTTTCAAAAATATGTGGTCCTAAAGTCACAAAATATAATTTCGAACTGAAATAAGACAATTTTCCGATTTTATCTTTATTCGATTTCGGCTAACTAAAACGAATTCAAGATTTTACACTCATTCTACACAACCTTCTTGATATTTAAAGTTTTCATTTTCCCTTCGATGTAGTTTTCGAGCAAAAAACAGAAAAAAAATGCGCAAAAATTTCCCTTATTTTGGGCTCCCATAATTTCTCCAACATGATCAATACGCATCATGTCGAACGTCCTTTTTTTTTCTCAGATCAATTGGGAGTGTTCATAGACCTATTATTATAAAATACTCAATATTTTTTTCTATATTCGAAAAGAGATGAGAATATTAAGATAATATTTGTAACCTGATTCGAAATAATTCTTATTCTACTTCCGTATCACAATACTCGAATTATATATCTGCTACTGATTTATTAATATTGTTCATTTCAACATAGATTTTTATAATGAAACAGATTTTGGCCAATCAAAACACGTACTTTCGACTTTTGGCACACCCACGTGATGTTACGTTAATGGAAAGGAATATATCATTTTAATTCTATTCTCTTGAAGTTATCTTTATCGATCAAGATTCAACTAAACAAATAATGTCTTACCTGTTTGCTAACAGATGAAACGGCCAAAACATCATTCAATGTTGAACCCACCAACATTATTTTTGATCCCTTAATTATTCCGGAACTAGAAATTGTCTGATTATCTTGAAGTAATCCTTTATACATGAGCTTTTGCATTGAATCTGGAACACCTAAATGATGATAAAAATAGAAATGAGTATTCCAGTATTTGGGGGTAGTGAATTTCGAATTCTCATAAATCAATATTGAATTGGTTTCATTGCCATTTCAGGTTTATTTCATTTGATAGTGTCGACTTTTTATAACAGGAAGGAATCCATAAATAAAATCTCTGAACAATGATTTTGGCAGTTTATGCCCTGAGTAACTATAATAGGCATAGGTACACTTTTTTCACGTATAACACAATCAACAAACTAATAATAATAATAAAAGTACTTTATTGGTTACCCAATTGGCCACCGACCAAAGTCCTTCAGCCAGTGAAATCTATTGTATTATATTTATTTGATTGAATAATAAAATATAATCATATTTATGTGAATTATTGTTTGATATGAGTAAAAAAAAGGAAAGTGTTCAAGATTGATCAATTTCTTAATTTCTTGGCATTTCTGCAATGTTGGTGATGCATTCCACCAAGGTGTTTACTGGAAACTTGTGACTTGAGGTCTCTGTAAGGTGTCTTTGGATGCACTGGGTTTGAATAATCTGCAGGTTACTTCCATTGTTGGAGAACTTCTGTGCTAGTTTTCCAGCCTCTCGCTAATTGATTGTAGGCTAGATCTTTCTGCTACTTCTAGATTCTTCATGGGTGGCTTCCTGGCGTTGATGTATTTTGGTTGAGCATATTCGAGTATGGGCCGGCATATGGCTTTGTAAATGTGAGCTACTGTTTTTCTGCTAATTCCTCTCTGTTTATATGTCAAGTTCCGAAAATGTTTGGCACTTGTGATACACTTTTTTTTTCATAAGTTAAGAGTGGTGATTAAAGCTCAATTTCGGGTCCAAGTGAACTCATAAGTACATGGCTACTGTGCTAGTTCTCACTATATGATTATTCACACTGACTGAAGGTGAATTATTGGATATTATCAGTTGGGATTTTTCTGGGTTTGGCTTCAGTCTTCATTTATCACACCATCTCATAGTATCCTCGATTGCTTCTTGTAACTTTCTCACAGTTTCCTCAAGTGTTTTGTTGTGGCGAATCATGGCAGTGTCGTCAACGAATTGAATTCCATAGGGCGATGTGAATCGTTCCTGATGGTTTGGAATGTTCTGGACAAATACGTCGTGGCAGTAGATGTTGAACAGAAATTGTGATAGGGGTGAGCCCTGAGGGAGTCCCTGTTGTGGCTGGAAGACAGTTGAAAGGTGATGCAGTACTTTCACTTGTAGGGATCTTCTTTGTAGGTAGTCTTTTACTAGTTGTATTTGGGGCAGTCCTATATGAATAATTTGTAGAGCATTCCCTTATGGCATACACTGTCAAAGGCCTTGTTTATATCTAGGAAAATTCAACAATTCTTCTTAATATCATGAAAACCCCCACGTGAAAACCTTGGTGAAGGACCAAATCCTCTCCCTATCCTCCCTAGGTACGCACGATGTTCTTCGAAAATTAAAGGGATTCCCTTTAATGCACTTAATGCGATGAAAAAAGTTCATCTAGTATGTTGGAAAATCAGATATCCAAATGAAAGCAAAAAATATCAAACAACAAGAATAGTAGGAGTTAGCACATATATGTACAGTCGTATTCAATAAAAAAGCGTACAAGTATTAAAAAGAGAGGATTTCGGGATCCTAGTTCTAGTTGTGTAAAACTGGCTCAGCCATTGCTTTGTGTTTTCGAGAACCTATTACAACTTTACTGTCAACATTTGGTGAACAATCATTCCCGATAGCCCGTTTTATGCAGAATAGGATGACATTAATTTCTCTCTGTAATATACTTGTACCCTTTTTTTTTATGCGACTGTACATCATTTTTAGAGCACCCGTGATTCTTCACACTCTATCATTTTAACATTTCATGTTCTTAGTTTTTAGAGTTGTAATAGCTGATAATTCTTTAATTCTGACTTAAACGTATTAACAACTGGTACATGAAACAAGGTTATAGTCCCTTCACTGATAGCATTTCACAAAAAAGTAGGACAGACGTGGAAACCGCAAAACACTATCATCAATACCAATCGAGAAATCTTGCAGTCACAAACTAAAATGGGGGATGCACTGTACCGGATGTACCACTAAGAAAGGATGCCGGCTGTAACTCGGAAACTATTTGGCGCACAGGTTTCGGAAAACATATTCTTGATGAAAGTGGCCATAAAAAGTCTCTGGAAATAATTTTCTCCAGGACGGGATTTTGTGAGAGTTCGGTGTATCAAGGTATGTCATTAACAAAGTTTTCCTGATATCGAGTTGATTTTCATTCATTTCGATCAAAAAAAAATTGCACTAGCTCTTCAAATAAATGAAGGAGGGGAGGATGAATACAGTTTGGTGTAACGGAATTCAACGAACTAGTTCTCCTATGAAGGGATTTTTCAGTTCTTTCAGATGAATCATGAATCGAGTCGATTCAAATCCCGTGGTGGCCGCTAGATGGCACCTTTTGAAAAAATCAAACAATTTTCAATTTTTTCTCGAGAATTCCGAATGCAACCATGTATTTTTTCACTCTTATATGAAAGTAGGGTAAACGAGAAGAAAAATGGTGAAAATCGCAAGTTGATCTATCTTCAGGAACCGGAGATATAATCGAAATAATATTAGAAAATATAAATTAAATAAGTTCTGAAATGAATAGGGTCTTCCTAGATGCACCAATTGTCTTCCATCATTTTCCATTTATAGATAGAGTCTCCGTCGAGTGGATGAAACTGCAGCTTAGACTTAGGCTATTGTATGCTTTCGATGGCAGATCTGATCCTATTGATCATATTTTCCCTAGTTGTTGGTCGATCGGGTTTCAAAAACCATATCTTTCAATCGTCCTCATAATAAAAATCTGAATTGAATAAGTCAATTCTAGAGACCACTTGCATGGATATCTTGAATCTAATAGACATAATAATACACATCATCATATTTATCATTATTATGAGCCTCCTTATTCATCGAATATTTTATGGACATATGAAGCAACGTTCGACAGTAATGAAGTAGATCATTTGCATAACATGCACTATTGGTCCCAGAATAATCCTCATTGGATGCAGGAAGTTACTATTGGCGGAAAAAATATAGGACCATATATTTTCAATTAATCTCTCAATGGAAATGTTTACCTCAATTTCCTGTGTGGTCAACTAACTCTTCTGCTAGAAAATGTAGAATTAGAAACAAGAAGAAATAAGTTTTTCCAGCATGATGGATGCCCGGCACTTTTTTATTATTATAACATGCGGAATTATCAAAATTTAACATATCCTGGCAAGAGGGTGTGTGGAACTGGCAATGCCTGTTTGGGTGGCCAACTAGGTCTCTAGATCTGACTTGTTCAGATCTTAATTAATGAAGAAGATTGATAATAGTATATTATCCTACAAGTTCATTCATCCTCCCCTCCTTCAATCCACAAAAAAGTGTAAGACACTGATGATGAATGGAAATTCATAGATTATCAATGATCTAGTTGGAATTTGGAGAAAAATCCTTTGAAACCAATTTGAAGAAATAAAATTTGCCATTTAATACAAGGGGTATTGAATACCTAAAATTGATGAAATTGATGATTTGATTCCCATAAGAAAGATAAAAGAAATAAAAAGACATTGAACACATGGCAAATATCTATTGTTCACATGGATTTCATAGAAAGTGAATTTTTCAGTGCCATCTAGTGGTTAGTGATTTTCTCAAATAATAAAATAAAAATGCAGGTGAGTTGCATGCTGCAGTTGACTGATGTGAAGATTATACCAATAGTTTCTAGCAGTTGGAAACTGGAACTAGACATTTAAAAATTGTGGGGAGTAGATATAGCTCAGTAAAACGGTAATGATGAAAATCTTCTCCTTGAAAAAATCGAAAGTATTCGGTTCCTCAGTGTTTTTATAATTTTTTGAGGGTGCTACACCAGAATCAGAATTTTGCAAACAAAATTTCCTGGAGCGTTCCGAGATATTCGCAAAACAACAGTGACATTTTCGCCCTGTTTTCAGGATTTTGCTCATATCTTGGAAACTATACATTTCATGGGAAAAATCACTCCATAGAAAGTTGAAGTAGATAATTTTTTTTATATATAACTGTTGTTGAATGTAGGAATAACGGGTGAGGAGTGAGAGTCAGTTAAAAATTCACCAGATTTGTTTATGGTTTTCGCAGATAATTCATATTCTACCGTATCATGTAGGAATTGAAATGGCTTCTAATTTGTTATAGAGCTCATGTAGAGTTTGCTATTATGCAAGAAAGTGAACAGTTGTTAAATGGCTTAGACTTAAACTCTTAATTTCTCTTCTCTTCTTATTATATACAGGGTGTCCCAAAATTGCTGGGACACAGAGCTACCACGTGTAGAGGAGGTCAAAATAAGTTGATTGGTCCAGATTTATTCATGTGACAAAATGTACCGTTTGTCCGTGAGAAGGGTTCAAAGTGCACTTGAAAAAACACATTTTTGTACGCTGTTCAGGAATAAGTGGAACGAATTTGATGAAAGTTGGCAATAGTGTATTTCAGACGATTACTTTCCTTTTGGTAATCTAAGAAACCTAAGAGAAATTGTAGAAGGGTTGAAACCACCCTCACCCCCTGACGTTTTCTTCAGAACTTTTTTAAGGGTCATGATACGATTCTGAAATTTTTTGAGCTTGAAGACTCATCAATCACCTTCATTTTATCACTCATGTAAAAATTCCGTATACCAAATAGTTTCGAAGGAATAAAATGTTCTCTCAAATAATGCTACCAGATATTCCTATAGTAATGTGGTAATGGTACCCGCGGTAATAACAAAATTGAAGAATTTATTGAAACATTTACAGACAACGTCAACAACAAACTTGAATGACAATAAATTTGTTTCCTGTCGAAATCACGACTTGCCTGCGTTTCCACTGCCAACTAAGTTTAATATCACAATTCAATTAAACTTGTACTATAGGAATATCTGGTAGCATTATTTGAGAGAACATTATTTTTCTTCGAA